ATTACCGACAGCATTTCTTCTTGTCAAACTTTCTTTTTAAAACAAAGGTCTTGCAACTAAGCTGGTAGCCAACAAATAGAGCACTGAACACACACCAAGCACATGAGTCTTTAGCTGGGTATTTGTTGCATCTCACAGCTCAGCCCTTTAAATATACATACATAGAATATTTTGAAAACAATAAATGGGGAATGCTTGACATTCTCAGACAAATGAAATGACTCATTTCTCTCTCATCTAATTTTTTTTTCTAATTTAAAATTAATTTGCTGTGAAATACCTACATTCTACCAAATACAATTGCCCTCATATTATTAGAGAAGTCATAAAAGTGTTTCTCATATTGCACACAACGGTCAGTAGTTTGGTGGAAATGTTTGAATCTGCAATCGTTATATATGCCTTTGTATGTGTGTGTATCATAGCCAGGGAGCCAAAAAAAGGTCTCCAGTTTTAATTTTTTTTAATGGATTGGCTGACTATGCCAACAAAATAAAGTGCTTCTCATCTCTGCCTGCCCTCCCGTTGGACTTAACATCTGCTAAACTCTTATATAAACTTTTCCAATACAATTATAAGCAAGTGAATTATTGGGGGAAAAGGAAAAAAATTTTAAATCTTTTGGGTCCAAATTTGGTTGAAATTCATGGATCTCACCCTGAAACTATTATTTACTGGGTTCATGGAGTTTTTCAAAGACTATTACTCCTCTTTCTCAACAAATCTACAAGGTAGTTGTTATTTCTAGTTCACAAAAGAGGAAACCAAGGCCTAAAGAAGGTAGGAGGCAGCGTTCTGGGGTCTCACACTGAGTAAGGAACTCTGTGGGGGATTATTATCCTTGTTCTTTCAAATCTACCATGCCATTTCTCCAGGATTAGAGATAAGGTATAGAAAGACAACAGACAGCCATTAACTATTGATTTCAAAATTATGCCATCTAAATTCCACAAATGTGAAAACATTTAACTAGTGCAATATATTTTATCTACTTTTCAATTGCAATAAATCTGTCCCTCAGAACTTCTTAGCCAAACTGAGTCCCAAATCTAAAGAGCCTTAATTAAAATACATAAATTATTATCTCCTACTTCACAAATAATTATTTGTATTTCCCACTGTCTACATGCTACGTACACTCATACTTTCTAAGGATTTTTCTTAAGGATTTACACATGTCAGAAAGCTAACTTTATTAGGTTAAATATGTATTTTTTATTTCCTATCACCTTTTCCTAAGCATTTGTGAATATAATTTCCTTTCCCAAAATGATGAAAACAATTTTGGCCTTTTCATCCTTTAAACCCAGCTTCCTTTCATTTCTCCCTCCTCACTTTTCTAGATAATTCCCTAGGTCTGTAGATTTTTCTCCCTTATTTTCCATCCTTCCAGTTCTGTTACTTTTCTTCCTGCCATTCTCTCTCTTTAGCTTCTGAGATTTTTCAAAGCCACCTGCAACGTTGTAAACAACCAACAGTTCTCTGACAAGAAACCTGGGGAAGTCTTGCCCTTGAGTTTGTCTACTGGCATACCTTCACTGATGATGACAGGCCGACATTAGCAAAACCCAGCACTGATGTCAAAGTGATAAGGCAACTAAGCAACTCTCATTTACAAAAATAAAATATAAATAAATGAATGATTAAATTCACACTTGATGTAAAATTCCCAGCTGTTTCTCCATGTGTTCCCAAGTATTAAATTATTTTAAAATAATTAATGCAATTAATGATTTTTATGTCTTAAATCCAGTCATTAGAGTTATTTTATTATTATATCTGTAGTCCACAGATTTACAGTGAACCAAACCACCAAAGTGGATGATAAAGAAAACTCCCTAGACATCAGAAATACCAATGGCATTCTTATGTTTTCCTTCAACAGATTCCTTAAAAGAAAGACTAAGTCAAAGAAGTTCCATGAGGTCAAAGACCAGTTATGTCTGTTTGGTGTTTGTATTGCCAGTGCTCTCCACAACACTTACCACAGAGCAAATCTTCAAATATTTTTGAATAATTAGATGAATTATGCTGCTAAAAAAAAGTAATCTGCTTCCTTCCAAAGGAAGGAAATCTTCCTTTAAGATTCACAACATATGCCCTATTTTTCTCTCATATGCCATTATCACTGTTTATCCAAGGGCTGATAATACAATATATATGTTTGTAAAACCTCATATTAGGGAGGAAACCTTAGTATAACACTGTAGAGTTGAAAAGGACCCTAGAGAGTTAAAGCAATGAGCTCAGAGATATACAAATATTTCATTGCTCAAGGTAAAATTACAATCAGGTCTCTTGAATTCTGGAACTTTTTTCAATTTTACCAACTCAACTTACTTAAATTATTTAATAATATAAAGTATTTTAATTTTTATAACCAACATCAAAGACAACTAAAATATAAGAACTGTAAGTTGGAATATTCCATGGATGAAATTACTTGGCAATGTCCAACTACTTGTTAAATTCATTTTCATTCTTCCACTTCCAATAAAGAGCAAATTCCAAGTGACTGATAAATTTCACCATAGTTCTACTGGTAAACAGGAGCTCTGATAGCAACAATTTCTCCTAAAGCATATTGTGATAGAATGCAAGAAAGCCCACAGTATTAAAAAAACTACCAGAAATTCCTATCTATACATGCCCTGTCTATTCTAGAGGAGTTTTACAAGTTGTTCACCCCTAATAAGAGAGAATAGACAAGGCATATTTTATCACTCCAAGTGCTTGCTCTCAGAGAAGTATTGAATCCTGACAATGTAAGAAAATGGATCTACTAGAACTTTTTGAGGCAAAATCCTGATTGCCAAATAAAAGAACTGGGTAAGACCACACAGAAATAAGTCACTGCTTTGAAATATAACCTGTTTTCTTTGTGTCACTAAAGTGTACTGGTGATGTACTTGGCCAACAAGAATTTCTCTACCCCTGCCTTGTGGGGTTGAAGATGTTTGCACTATTCACCTGCATGTTCTCATCATCCTCCTGACACACTTTTTTCAAAATAGAAAAGAATTGCACACAGCTTGGAAAGTACATAGAGCTGCTGCACTGTTTGATCAACATTATTATTTCTAAATTTCTTACTCTGGAAATCATTATCTGAGTATACAACTTTTCATAACAAAATCATTCATATTTGACTTACAGCAGTAAGTACAATTTATCTACTCCTCATGTAAGTTGATGAAAATAGTCTTAGGTTAAATTGGCATTACCAGAGACACTGCTGCCACTACTTTTTAGAAATTTTTAAATTCTAATTCTTAGACAAAAACAAAACTCCAGGATTCTAAAGGCACTGCCCTGTAAACTAATCATTACCTTTAATAAGATTATTATATTAAATATGGATCTGTTATATTGAAGAATTATTATACTGTACAAATGTTGCTTTAGGTATGGCACAACCCTACAGATACACCCTTACTAAATTCCTCTTATACAGGATTATGTTCAGTTTGCAAAATGAAATAGTTCCTAAACCTATACTGCCTGAGAAATGTTTGTAGGGAAAACTGCTCTAGCCCATTCTGAACTTTCTTTCTAGGTTATCAATGGAAAAGGTGACAGAAAGGTATATTAAAGGGCAAAATACACAAGAAGAGGCAAATGACTGTGAGTAGCTAAAAAAAAAAGTCACTCTCCATTAGTGCAAGTGCCAAGGGGACACTTCTAAGATTACCTGTACCAGTGCCCTTTTCCTAAGGATCCCAATATTTCTCAAGTCCTTCCTAACATCATTTGAAAGAGTATTTTCAAAAGCGAAACTTTATAGCAAATAAGATCAATGTTCAGATTTACTGTGGAAACTTTGAAGAAGTTAAAGTCCTAGAGGTGGGGTGGGGGTGTGTGGGGGGTGCTGTCAGGAGTTAAAGTCCTTGCTTCCAATGTCTGGGTGAGGCTTAATGGTGGAGAGAGTTTTCACACTGAATTTCCTTCAGATTCTGTCTGCAATAGAGTGGATTCCTTCAAAAGAGAGTTCACTCAGACAGACTGGATCAGAGGTCTGATATTCCTACAAACAATAAAGGTCAAGGGTAGCTGAAATGCCTGGGCAGGAGTACTATGGAAGGATGCCTAAAACGGGGAATCTGGTGTACACCTGGAACTACTGATACAGACATCCCAAGATTAGTACAAATTTGGAGAGGTTTATGAAGGCATTTATTCATTGAACAAATATTTATGAAGGGCCTAACATAAAGAAGGCATGAAAAAATGAGGAAAAAAGACGGAAGAATCCAGGAAAGAGAGAGTGAAGGATAAGTTGAGGGTGCAAGAATTACTAGAGAGGTTTAGAAAACTGTACACTAAGTTTACCCAAAGAAGAAGATTAAGTTAATAAATGTTCAGTGAATGAGAGATAAAAAAACAGCTAAGGGTGCAGATGAGAGACTGCAGGTTTCTCGTCAGAAGGCAGCTCAGAAAACTATGAAACAGTTCTTAAGATTTGAGAAAAGGGACGCAACATAGAATGCAGATAGCCTGTGGAATTCAAAGATGTCAGAGAAGGTCACACCAAGATCGAGAGAGTGTGGGAAATAAGGAGAGGAATAGGTTCTCGGCATGGATTGGGGCTCCTTTGGGATGCTGAGAACAGAAATTAAAGACATGGAAATGGAACTGAACAGCCCAGTACCTGGGAAAGTTTGGGGGAAAGAAAACAGGTGGGTGTGAAGAAGCACAGGGGCCATCCGGGGAGACAGTGATGAAGTAGGGTCCAGGGCTACAAGTTGTCAGACTCCCTCACACCAAAAGATTTACCAAGAGTGGAGTCTGACTTCTTTCCCATGTCCTAATCCCCTATTCTTCCTGAGCCCAGGGGTTCGTATCCCTCCAGGGGCCGCAGGGAACCCTAAGACCCCTGGGTGAGACCGGGCCGCCCCCCAGCGGTCGGGCACTGCGCCCAAGACCCTAGTCTCCCGGCTCCAACTTTCCCGATCCCAGTCTCCTCTCCCGAAGCGCTGGCCCCCCTTGCGCCCCCCGCTCACCGAGGGCGCAGTCAGGCGGCTGATGCTCTCGCCCAGAGAGTCCAGGTTGACCCGCCTTCGGCGCTGCGCCCTCTTGGCCCCGGCCGTGGCGGCGGCGGCAGCAGCGGCGGCGGCGGCGGCAGCAGAGGCAGCCGGGGCCGGGGCGGCAGTGGCCGCGGCCGCGCTGGGCTCGGGCGGCCCGGGCGGGCTCCGGCTGCCATTCCAGCAGAGCTTAGACAGGGGGCACTCCCCCCCGTCCTCCTCCGGGCTGGTCTCCAGGTAGTCAGAGCCCAGGGAGCTGAAGGACTCGGACGAAATCTTCCTTCGAGACATGCTGCTGGCGGTGCTATTGCGGCCGAGGCGGCGGCGGTGGCGGGGACGCGGGCGGAGGCGGCGGTGGCGGGACCGGAGAGCGGCGGCTTTAGGCGCGTCGGGGCCGGGGGGCGCTGCGGTCGCGCTCTGCCGGGCGGGAGTACCCGGGGCAGCCGAGCCCCAGGAGCCAGCTGCTCATGGCGGGAACTTGGGGCGCCGCGGCACCTTGGGGCCCGGGCTTACCGGCGGCGCCGGGCTGGGCTGGGGGCCGCCGCCGCCTCTGCTGCTGCTCGCGCGGCGCCGCCTGAGCGCCCGCCTCAGCGCATCGCCGTGCGCCGCGCTCCCGCTCGCGGGGAGGCTCGGAATGTGTGACCGCTGACGGCGGGCGGGGAGGGCTGCGGCCGGCGCGGTCCGGGAGGCAGAGGCTTCTGCCGCCTGCGCGACTATCTCGCCCCTTTCCCCTCTCTCCTCCCGCCCCTCTCCTCCCGCCTCTCTCCACTTACTGCCCGCCTCCCTCCTTCTCCCTTTATCCACCCCCACCCCATGCTCTCCCTCCGCCGGTATCACGTGTCGCCATCATACTCATTGGGAGTCTCTGCCTCGCCTGTCGCCACGTTTCAGGAGCAACGAGGACACTTCGTTGCTGTCCTCTGCGCGCCCTCCTCGTTGCCACAGTCCCCTGCTACGAGGAGGAGCGCACCATGCCTGGGTTCGGACCAAGGGTCCCCAACCCAAAATGTCCTATCCCTGGGCCTCGGGAAAGGCAGTTGAGTAGCAGACGGGCCCGCGGGTGCTCAAGGGGAGAGGGGCGCAGTTTTGGAGGCGGGAGATTTCTCTCTGCGGCCACCTCAGGGAAGTCTGGCGGTGTGAAGCGAGGGTTTAGGGTCCATGTTTGTCTTTTCCCCTCCTTCCTCCGAGTTTATTTAGGAAGTTCCGAGGCGGAAGGGAAAGGCTGAAAGGTTCAGCCCAATCATTCCGGAGTAGACGTTTACAGAGGAAGGGGAGGAAAAGGGTAACGTGTTGGCGCCCACCCTGCTGGAGCAGCTCGTGGGGACAGCCTTCTCCTCCTCGGGCGAGGCCGCGTGGGCGCGGAGCGAGACCAGAACCGAGAGGCAGTGAGTGAGTAGAACCTCTACTCCGGCAACAGCCCTGTTGCTTTGCCGCGGTGCGGAGGGGCGCAGGGCTCTGGGCTCCAGCTGGCTCCGCACTAGTGCTGGACAGCTCCGCTTGCCACCTGCAGCCTCATTAGCCCGCGAGGGTAACAGGGTGAGAACACTACCTCCACAGACTACTACCTCGCGCCTGATCCAAAGGACACCAGGGAGGGATCCCGTGTCCCTTATTCTCTGGGCTCTTTGCGCCAAATACGCGATCTGTTTGCACTTGGCTGCAAATGCCTCTCAGAATGCTTAGGAGTGTGGGAAGAAAAGCGTTTCAAACCCCAAGAACAGACTTGCCACAGCGTGATCACATCTTTTACTGTGAGTTTTCAGCGGAGTGGCTTCATTCTAAAGCTCGCTTTATTGCAACCTGTCTTTCCAAAGCCTGATCTCACAGCCCTTGTGTTAGCTCCAGAAGAGCTTTGGACCTGTTCTGACCTCAGGGTAAGGAACAGGAAGAAAGGAGAAATAGCTGTGTCCCAAAAGAGGAGCTCCAGGCTGTTTTCCCATGGCAGCAAAGCAGAAGAGCGCCCTCCCCACCTTCCCCATGCTCGGTGGAGGGGATAGTTCCAGGGTCCCTGGTTTTATTCCCTAGGGACATCAAAGCCAAGGCCTTTTTGTTTTCCAAAACTGGTCCAGGTGAAGGCAGATAGGCTTGTATGTACTGTGTATTTAAAAACAAAACTATGACAACATCCTCATCCCAGTTTGCTTTTAACTTCAAATCTTCCCAGTTGTTTATGAGAACCCTAATAGAAATGATATTTGAGGTTTTCTTTTGTACTTTGGTAAATCCACTGGAACTGATTCAGAGACATGCCTTATTCCCATATCCTAAATGAGTGTCTTCACTATCGTTCAGATAAGAGAGAGAGGAGGTTTTGTTTGTTTCCTTGCTTGTTTTTGTTTTCAGTCTACTGAAAAAGTTTCTAATTGTATGCTTTCTCAGCAGAGGAAATGTGGGCCTCTTTTTAAAAATAATAAATTATTATTATTATTAGGATTTTGTGGTTTATCTGTGGTTTATTTCCCCCATTGCTTCAATTAATTCTATATGCATTTTTTTCTGCAAAAATCTAGACACAAACTACATTTCTTATCCTCAAGAATAACCACCAGTGGTGCTAAAAAGGAAGAAAGAAAGAAAGAAAGAAAGAAAGAAAGAGAAAAAGTTTAATTGGCCTTTTCTGAACTACAGTAGGTGATACCTTTGCAAAGTACATTCTTGCAACTTTGGGGAAACTAATATTTTTGCTGTTGTATCAATCACAGCACAAGGAGCTGGAATGCTTAGTACTCCTCTATAGCAATGATGATGCAATTGTTAAGTTCTTTACATAATAGAATTTTAGAGTTATTATTAAAAGCATATGTTTTGCCTTCTTTCCATAATGCTACTGTCTACCCCTCCCCCCAAAAAAAACACAAACACAAAAGAAAGGTTCTATTAAGGTAATTATACAAAACCTTCCTACTGAACTTAGAAATGGAACATTTTACTAGCCATCCCAACAGTTGTCTCAGACTCAAAATGACTGAGTGCAAGGCAGTAAGTATCATTTGTTTCTAAAATCTGCAAGAGGCCCAAGAGTCTTCCTGTTTACACTGGAAGTTTATTGCCAGAAAGAACTCTTAACATATGGGACATTTTTTTCTTTGTGTGAACCATTTGAATCAAAGACTCTTAACAGAATATAGCCAGATAAAGAAGTCTTACAATTTTCTGTATGAATTACCCTGCTTTGATCATGATTTTCCCACTGATTTTTAAACTATAAACAAATGAAGGCCTAAATATAGGCAGTACATCATCTGCTTTGCTTTCAAGGGTTTCCTTTGTGTTTCTGTTCAGGAGGAGGGTTCAAAAGCTCTTAATAGGAAGAGTGCTGTGTTCTATATTTAAATTAACATTCTTAAGAGGAAGCATAACCTAGTCTTCATTTTTAAAAAAATGCCTTAGACCTAGTAAACACAGCCTAAGTACTTAAGGCAAAGAGTAGTCCACTAAAAACAAGTAGTCTGTGCTCTGATTTTAGGAAAATAAATTTGCATAGCTCATGCCCACAAATTTGGCCAATGAATGCACTGTGTTTCAATAAAGTCCTTTAAGTCCAAAATATAATTGAAAAATAAAAATGCATAAATATACTTGGTTTATTTGTGAAGTTGGTGTGGACACCTGAGGACTCATTCAGATTGATCAAGCACTGAGAAAGACTCCCTAAGAAAGCAGATGTCTCATCGTAGTCAAGATGGTAACTGTGCCTTGCCTTTATACAAAGCCTTGCTATTTATAAACTCCTTTCACTTACATTGCCTCATTTAATTTGATTTTCATCCTTCCCAGAGAAGTAGTTAAAGAAAAATCACCTCTGTCAAATTCAAATAAAAACTACAATCCGTCCTCATTCCCTGAATTCTTTGCATTCAAAGCTCCAGACTCTCCTAATTTCTTTTCATCCATCTAAGTCTCCAGCAAGAAAACCTGCAACATCTGCATAAGCATTCCTTGGAGCACAGTTCTTTCCTATTATCAAAATACTGAGGAAATCTCTCCCTATAGTCAGTCTTTACATAAATCTGGCAACTGGCAGGAATTATACATATAACAATAAAACAAGTTATCCAAAGGAACATAGTAGCTGGTGAATTCTTAACTAGGGCAAGTTTTTCTGTATCCCTAACCTAGAAATACACACACACACACACACACACACACACCCCTCACCTTCCAGTTTAACTCTGTGTTCCATGTTACTTGAGAATGAGGTCTGTCTACCTTTTCACTTTATCATACTTTATCATACTTTCTCAGTGAATGGCTATGAGAAAATAAGTGAAATTAAATACTAAGGATAATATCAAAGTGGGAACAACAATCACCTTATTTGTATATAAAGGGTCACGTGGAAGATACTCTATTCTATCATTGTGTGGTTATAGTTATCATAAAACTATTGTGAAGAGGCAGGGTGCTTACTGCAGAAGAAGAGAAGGAGAAGGACTTGAACATGAGAAAGACGGGGGAGAAGGAAGAGGAGGTAGTAGTTGTGGGAAAAGGGAGAGAAAAATAAAGCAAGCACCAAAGTCAATGCTATACTTAGTTGAATTTGTACTAGAAAAATACTTAAGGCTAGGATAGTGGCCTTGTTTTTATACCAACAGATCCAAGAAAGTTGGCAAGTAATCAGTGTATTTTGATGCCTCTAACAGACATCTCTCTCTTTCGTAAGGGGCTTTGCACTGAACCAGGTACTACAGAAGTCCATTTTCCTCTTGAAAAGACCCTACAATGCCTGAAATATTAATATCAGCACCACAACCTCTCAGGATTCTCGGCCTTTTTGTCTGCAGACTCAACAATCCTAGCATCATTAGTTCTCTATACACTTTGAGATTGTTTTTAAGTACTAGTGCAGACTATATTGGAAGATCATTTATGTCTTTCTATACATTTTTGTCAATTACAATATTGACCTTATGTATATAATAAGCACAATACTTTGTAAATAAGTAATTAGATTATGGCCCACTGTGGTCCTTAATTATTTCCCTAATTACTTATTTCTACCTTGTATCCATTTCCACACCCTTTTACCTTCCAAATCTACTAAGTAAAGGCAACTTTGTAACAGTGATTACTCCTTGGGGAGTCATCCTTGCAGAGTTAGGTTTGCTTCCCTACCATTGCCCTTCTGCAAGGTAATATGCCCCCTTTGGAAAGACTATGTCCCCTCCCTTTGCCCTACATTCTGAATTCTAGAGAAGCTGCACCTAAAAGATCAAGATGTTAACTGCTAAATAATCTTTCTTTAGATGTACAGAACTTTCAGTGACCTTTCTAACACCCTGCTTAATCTTTAGTTCTGTACATTGACTAACAACACAAGCATATAAATTGCTGTGAGGTTTAATTTGCTGAAAAGTAACATGTCTATTTTAAGAAAATACAGGAATTAGCT